ATAGACCTAATAATATCCTCCAAATAAATTTACACTGGAGTGGGCCTGCTCCTATTTTTATAATATTTTATTTTCTCTTTCTATATTAACCCCTGCTCCTACTTTTATAATATTTCATTTTCTCTTCCTATATTAACTCTTTTTTAAATAATCTATCATTTTCTTAAACAAGTCTCTCTTATCCTTTGGTAGTTTGTAAATCTGTATCATATTAAAATTATTTTTGATAGGAAAGGTTCGACTGTTGCAGCATTTTGCTCTTTGCCCAGTGCAATTGTGACGTGAATGAAAGTCGTCATTTGATTTTGATATAGCAACAACGGTAGAGACCATTAAAACTGGTGCTCTAAAGCACCACTAATGAGTTGGCGTCTATTTTTAAAAAAATAAAAATAAAGGCACAACAACACTGTGGCAGTGGGTGGGGCTACTGTCATATCATTAGTGGTAGCACTAATTAGTGCTCTCACTCATTTTCCTTGACATGGTCTCTCTTTTTTTGGTTGATATGCTAATGCTATGGTATATGCTATTATGGTAGGGGTGGGTATCCACCAGGTCAATCCCCCCAGTAGAAGTTGACCCCCGTGACCCCCAGTGGCGTGGCAGATGAGATGGCAGCTGATGTGGAGTATGGGTGTATACGCTGTTGTACTGTGACTATATCCTAAAGAAAAAACAAAAAATTTAGCCATTTGGCTCATAACATATTACTCGTACTATTTACAAGATAAAATAATATATTATTTATTAAAAATATGATTATTATATTTAATTTTTTTATATTTTATTTCTTGTAAATAAAATTTTATATAAATTTAAAGGTTTTGTTTTAAATGTTTCTCTACTATAACATATAATAGTATATAAAATAGATTAAAATTGTTGTATTGATAAATAATAATTAAAATTGCTTTGTTATAAAAAAAAATGACATAGTTTTAATATTTCACTATCTTAGAATAAAAATATATGAATTTTAAAAGATTATCATATTGGTTTTTGAAAGGAAAATAATTAAAGAAATTTTAAAAATTTAATGAATAATAAGGAATCATCGTAACATGTAATACTGTTAAAATCACAGTTAAACCAGCAAGTCATTCAAATCAAAAATAAACTTCGTTTTTTTTCCTCTTCTCCCGATGTGATATTATAAAATAAATCATAAACTAATTAGAGTTTTATTTTTATACGGTTAGATAAAAGTTAGCCAATGCAATTTTTTTAATTGTTTAAAATTAATAAAATCAGCATGAGAAATCGTGATTAAACTGGCGAATCTGTCAAACACCTAAAATGGTTCAGCCCAATTGATTAGGTCAAATAACCAACTAGCTTATACAAAAATTAATTAATTAAAAATTTAAAATGTTATATTTTAATTTTAAAATTTAAATTGTCTTGAACTGAAGTATAAACAATACTACACTATTAAGATTCACTTTATATAAGTGAAACAACTCACTTTTTTTCTTTTTCCCATGTGGGATTAAAAAATAGAAGTTAACAATTATTTGAACATAAAGTTTATTTATAATTAAACAATCTCAGTCTTTCAATATTTAATTAGATCAATCTTTAGTTTATTTCGAATCAAATAAATTTAATCAATATATTTTGATAACACCACTAAAATCGCGGTTAAACTAACAATTCAATCAAATCAAAAATGATTTAGCCTAATCGGCTAGGTCAAAAGATCAACCAAGTTATACAAAAATTAATTAATTAAAATTTTTAAAATTTAAACTATATTGAATTGAAACATACACAACACTATAATATTAAATGGGATGAGAGTATAAGATTCACTTTATATGAGTAAAACAACTCATTTTTTTTTCTTCTTCTCCTGATGTGGGATTATCAAATAAAAACTAGACAATGAAAATTTTCTTAATTGTTTAAAATTAAGAAAATCAAGAGAATTAATATGAGATATTGAAACTTTTACAAAACCCGCCACTAAAAATCTCATTTTCCTTATATAATATATAAATAGTGAAACAAACTTTATTTTTTCTTCTTCCTCCAATGTGGGATTATAAAATGAATTATAAACTAATTAGAGTTTTATTTTTATATGTTTATATGGAAGTTAGCCAATGAAAATTCCTTTAATCGTTTAAAATTAATAAAATCAATATGAGAAATTGCGATTAAACCAGTGAATCGGTCAAATCCAAAATATTTTAGCCTAATCAGTTAGGTCAAATTACCAACCAACTTATACAAAAATTAATTAATTAAAACTTTTAAATATTATTTTAATTTTAAAATTTAAACTGCCTTAAATTGAAGTATACACAATAATATTACACTATTAAGATTCAGTTTATATAAGTGAAACAACTCACTTTTTTTTTCTTTTTCTGATGTGGGGTTATAAAGTAAAAGTTAACAATTATTTGGATTTAAAGTTTATTTCTAATCAAACAATCTCAGTTTTTTAATCTTTAGCAGATCAATCTTTAGTTAATTTCGAATCAAACAAATCTAATCAATATATTTTGGTAAGACCGCTAAACTCGCGGTTAAACCAACGAATCAATCAAATCAAAAATGATTTAGCCTAATTAGCTTGGTCAAAATTAATTAATTAAACTTTTAAAATTTAAATTATATTGAATTGAAACATACACAACATTACAATATTAAATGTGAGATTATCAAATAAAAGCTACAAATGGAGATTTTATTAATTGTTTAAAATTAAGAAAATCAAGGAAATTAATATGAGATATTGAAGCATGGGAGTATAAGATTCACTTTATATGAGTAAAACAACTTATTTTTTTTCTTGTTTTCCCGATGTGAAATTATTAAATAAAAGCTAACAAATGGAGATTTTCTTAATTATTTAAAATTAAGAAAATCAATAAAATTAAAATGAGATAGTGAAACTCTCATAATGTTACTCACTAAAAACTCCCTTTTTTTTTTATATATAGATAGATAGATAGATAGATAGATAGATAGATGAGAAGGTCCTATATGGTGTTTAAATTTTAAATGTGTTAAAATTTAAAATAAAATAAAAATCTTTCTTTTTAACCACAATATAATCCTTTCTTTCCTTTTTTTTATTTATCTATTATTATTTAAACAAATGTTGTTATCAAACAGACTGGCAACTCTAATATGACTTGGGACCATCAAAATATTCTTCCAACATGTATTGACAAAATACCAGCTGTTAGAATTGAAAAATCTTTTTCACTTGGAAAGTGACTTATTACTATTTCCTATTTCCAAGTTCCAACCCACCCACTTTGATGGTGAAAAAAGATAGGGGAACTACAATTGAAGGAAAAAGTTTTGTAATACGTACTGAGTGACATTATTTTTTCATCAATAACAAATATTTTTTTAGTATTCTTCAAACACTCGATAATATGATTTATATTTGAGTACTTTTCATCAATCATTATAGTAAAAGGTATCACATGAATATATCCTAACAAAAAAAAATAGTAAACCACGAGATACAATTCTTTATGGGGTAAGGTACAACTAAAAAAATAGGAGGGCATTGCATCTCTCCATATTTGTGTAATTTTTATTTTTATTTTTTTATTATTATTATTTTTTTTTTATGTATTCCACTGAACTATAATTCCCCCAAAAAGGATATCCCACAATGAATATTAACCTTAAAAGGGTTAAGAAAGTAAGAAAAGTTAAGATCATGTCAGCAAATAACCTTGAAAACTTTTAAAACGTCACATTTTAATTTACTTACATTAACATAATAAGAACATTGCATCTTAATTAACATGTAATAGTTCCGTCATTTGAAGTAAATTTATAAGTCTTTCAACATTTTTTTAGTTATCGACACATTTTTTTTCAAGAGAATTCAACATTTGTTATTGGATTAAGAGTTGTTTACAAGACAAAAGATGAAGACATCTCCAAAAACAACCACACAAAATGGAGACACATACATTCCTTAATGATCACAACAGGCATGACCAGCCATCAAAGTGGATTTTCCGTTGAAAACACTGTTTCAGAAACAAAAAACAAAAATATCCATAAAAATATATTTTATTTTTTTAATTAAAATTTTAAATAAATTTATTTTAAAAAATAATAATAATTAAATAATGAAATTAAATGAAACATCTTTTAAAATTTAAATAATAAAATTAAATAAAATTTAAACAAAATTTTAAAATAAAACATCAATAAAAATTAAATAAAATTATTTTATTTTTAAATTGAGACAGTTATATTTTATTGAATTTTACTAAATATAATACATAATTAAATAGTGAAGGGTCAATCCCATATCCCCCTTATCCATCCATTTTTGTCTCCCCCCCAAATGGGACACAATAATTCAATAAATTTGAGACTAATAGTCCGGTGTAAAAATTTTAAACCTAACAACGGAACTAATAGTCCAATCTCACACCTCAATCCCTCAAAACAAACACCACCTTTGAGTTTGGATTATTAAAAAAAAAAAAGCCAAGGAAGCCATCGCCCCCACCCTCATCGTCACAACTAGCACCTCCACCTCCTCCTCATTCCCCACCACCCCAACTCCATCAACCTTTTAACAAACACCGGTCATAGAAAACAAACATAAGTCATCGAGAAAATCTTGTAAATTAAAAAAAGAGCTGAAAGCAAACAGAATGATTGTATTTTTTGATTCATCAGTTCCAAATTCAACCCAACCCACTTGAATTCGTTTAACAAATGAGAAAGTTTGAATTGGATTGGATTATTGTTATACATAGAAACCGCCAACACTTCCACCATTACCACCATGTCCTCCAAACCACCTCCACCATCTATTGAGAAAAAAAATTCAATAAAATAAACGACTTGGTCTTTTGGATTGTCTTAATACATAACAACCACTTAACACCTCCACCATCATCCCACCTCACCATCCATTGAAAACAGAGTTCAACAAAGTAAACAAATTTGTTGTATTGATATGACCAACTCTTACTGACTTAAACACATTTACTAAATGGATAAATGTAAATTGATTACTTTAATACATAACTATTTTGATTTGCCCAAACCCGCACGTTTACTAACTCCAGGATTTGAAAGTATAGCAGGATTATTGTACCGTAACCTTAAAGTCAGACAACTGAAAACATGAAAGACTTTTGTATCTCATGAATCTGAACAACTTCTCCTACAACTCACAGAACCCCAACAGACATTCATGGCATTCCAAGCTATGCGATATTCCAATATACTCCTATTGATTGGAAAAAAAAACACTGCAATAATATTATTTGAAACAAACAAACAAACAAACCCTATTACTGTAGGACATCAAAATTCCAAGGTACAAAACTCAGTCCCTGCTTTTTCCCGATCTCTTTCTTTCACAACTGTATCTTCTCCGAGAGATTACAAGCGATAAATTAGTTGGCCTCAAAACACATCAAAACTGGATCATTTACTTGGCCCAAAAAAAAAAAACTTGCAGAGATTTCCAACATTTCATATCAAAGAAACTGCTTCCGAAAATTTACACCTATCGAATAAAATAAACAAACACAATTAGTTACTCAATGGAAGACTTAATTGCCTGGGAAACCGATTATCATTGAGAGTGTTTTATCCATACCTCGGTATCAACAAAGAACCACACAATTTTTATTTACAGAATGAAAAGAACCCTGCAATGTCCACAAATGTAAACTGCATCATAGGAATTAATTTGAATGTAGATCACGAAGTCCAACAGATGATGCAAAAAAACACAGGTATTGGTACCTCTGGTGAGAAAAATTTGATTCCCGCAACTGGTCCAGAGTAGGAGAACCTGAAGCATCTAGCAATGGTGATAATCAGATTTTCATTTTGTGACAGTGCTATCTGAAAACAAGGCTTCCATTTCTTTGTTGTCTCAAATTTTCAATGAGTGTTTGGTAAGATGCTTTTAGCGCCTTCATATCATTACCCTGACAACAAAATAAAAATATAGGGAAAATGAGTATTTAACACCATTATTTGCAGTTGTCAGGTGTGGGTGCATATCTAAGAGTCAGACACATCAAATTCTAAATTTTTGGATAGGCAGACTAGGGCAAAAAGGATCCAAAAATTAGATATGGAAGCGGGATACATTGTCTAATAGGAAAAAAATAATTTTATATATGTAAAATCAAAATTTAATCGTTATCTACCATATTGTATACAATGATTTTAAGATAATTTTAATATATTGGCAATGCAAAATATAGAATACAATTATTTTACTACTATAATTTGAATATATTGGTAATGATTTTACTCCAAATTTTATTTTTTCCTCAAAAAAAATAAGAAGTATCCATTTCAAAACAGAAGGATCGGATCCATATCATGTACCCATGCCAACACGGGAACTTCAGCAAAGCTGAAGAGTCCATGTAACATAGGCCGCCCAAAAGTTTAGGGTCAATCCAGAGCTGTTCCAATTTAGACTGTTTATGGAAAGCCAACCCCTTTCGGAGTCTTTAATGAATTTATTTAACTATCAAAAAAAAGAAAGAAATCCAAAACCAATTGTGATACCTGCAACTTTTGACAATATTGCTCAACCAAATCTTGGGGGCAATGTGCAGTTGGAAAAACTTTGTATACAAAATGAACAAGAAAATCATTGCCAAACTTGTCATACATGACCTTTTGAGCCAACACTATTTCCCCAAACAAAATAAGCTGCAACACAAATCAAAAACAAAAGCAAAACAATTAGAAAATTAGTTGCGCAACAGTAACAAAATCGAAAAGTTCCACTGTGAAATGCAGAACAACTACTCTACGGATCAAATATTATTTATCCAATCACAACTTCTAAATAAAGCCTTGATGACCCCATTAATTCTCTTCAGAAAAAGCATGGGATATATTATTATTTTATTATATAAAGAAGAAAGATACAGAAAAAGAAAAAAGAAATGGAACACCATTTTAATACTGCAGCAACATGGTACATAACACTAACCAAACAGTCGTCTCAGACTGCAAAAAGAACTTACAGTATTTGCATCACTAAGTTCAAAGGACTTGTCAAGCACGCTGTACAAACAGCAATTTGTTGCAAAGGTCTCAATTACAAAATTCTGAAAACCAGGCACCTGAAAAATATTTTAACACTTCAGTAGAAGGAAAGATTTCTCACATATTTGAGTGGGGAAATTAAGATATTTGAAAAGAGAAGAGCAAAGGACGAAAGGAGGAACTTCGAGAAAACATACCTTTTCTTCACCACAAGGCTTGCTACACCAATCTTTAATTAGTCTAATAAATATCTGTACACAAGACTAATTAACAAAAAGAGAGTTAGATTAAGTCCATGATTGCCTACATATTTTCTAGTTCCAAATATTGGAAACCAAAGTGAAAAGAAATCCAAATGCTATGAATACAATGGAACCATAAAGCTACGGAGCACATACACTTTTTGAAGTGCAGTGTCCTTGTTGGGGCACATGTTAGACACGGACACCTCACAAACACCCCTATAACCTTGTTTGGGTTCCCGTCCTGTGGACATGTCTATAGCCAAGGAGAAAAAAAAAAATCAAGCACTTTGCCTATACACCTCAACACTCCTCTGCACAGCCCATAGGGTCCAACATTCTTTGATTCAAGAACCTTTGATATTATACACATGGGAACCACAAGTCAAACATCACATGTCAGGAACACAATTTTGAAATAAAAAATATAATAATGAGGTCATAGTAACATACATAATATAATAATCAAAATGAAAATTTTCAGCTCCAACTTCCACATTGTGAAATACTTAATATACAAATTTAAAGCATTAATCAAAGCTATATAATTGATAAATTGATGAATTTATAAGAAAATGTATGATGTCACTGTGCTGTGTCATGTCCATATCGTACATTTTCAAAATTGTCATGTCAAAGTATACATGTATGTACATATCCATGTCTAAGCTAATTAACAAATAAATATTGCACACATTTCTCTTTTTGATAAATAAGCATTACACACCTTTCTTACGAAGATATCCTTATGATTACAGGACGTGTACAACAGCAACTGCATCATTGGAGCCAAGAAGGCCCTACTTTTGGGGGAAAGGAAAACTGAAGACAGCTCATGTGTAGCTATCACATTAAGAAACGTGTGCAACATGCTCTGAAGCTCTTGTAATTCGCGAATTTCCTACAACAGAAAGCAAGCAATCATGAGACAAAAGCTAACAAACAATATCAGCACTACTTTGGCAAGCAAAAATTCAAATTGAAACCTTTCTATCATGCAGCATGAAGGTATAAAGTGGAATCCCAATTTCCTAGTTTGGATCAACATTCCATTTGTGGAAATACAATTAATTTCCACAACCTATAAAGCACAGACACTTCTAAGAAGGTGTCATACCCATGTCAGACACTGACACACATCAAACACACCCCAACACATGTCAGACTGGCATCCAAATGTGTCCTATTATATTTTTCATATTTTAACAACCAGACACATTTTGGATAGTTGAAGCACACACATATCCATCACTTAGACACAATAAAACATATCACAAATGTGAAGAAGATAACTTGGGAGCCAATAATTAAAAACACAATAATGTGGATTTGTACCTACTGTTCCTCCTCTTTTAGGCTTTTAAATTTTAGAATTACTGTCTTTGTAATGTAGAAAAATCAAAGTAAATATTATTTTCATGTATATAATATCTACTTGCTTTTATGTCCCCGACATGTGCCAATATCATGATATATATATGTCATATACGTTTGTGTCTCTTCCTCTTAGTACACAACCATTAATGAGGTCCATCATAATCATTTTTTATTAAAGAATCACAATACTACCAGATATAAGCATCCATTTTAACTTCAATTGTGAAGCCATTGCACCGAATTCTCTGAACACATCCAATATATATATTTTTTTAGATAGGAACACATCCAATTTTCGCTGTGAAGTTAAATGTCTATTCCATTTTCTCATTTTTCATACTTCTCTTCCAGGAAGAACTTTAATAAAAATGCATGTCATAATAAACAAAAAGCAAAAATTGAAGGCAAACATATCAATGACTGGCATACCTTTCAATAGAAAGATCGAAGTACAATAGTAAAAACCAATAATCTCACTAGTAAAAAGCATGTAAAGTTTTTGTTGGCAGTACAGAAAACACATTGAATATCAAGTATTCTTGTTAATAGTCAGAATGGTGAAGTAGTAAGCAATAATCCCCATGTATGACAGCAAAACAATGGAGAATCACACAAATACAAGTTCTCAGACTAAGAAGCACGGACACTTCTAAGAAGGTGACGTATCCGTGTCGTGTCCGCCCCATGTATGACAGCAAAACAATGGAGAATCACACAAATACAAGTTCTCAGATTATTTTTCCTTTAAGTGGTAACAAATTTTAGTTGATTTGCAGGAAAAAGTAAAAATCAAAAAACCACTTTAGAAAAGACAAGCAGGTAAGGGCACCATAAAAGCACCCGATACACTTGCGCAGAGAGTAGAAATAAAACCAAAAAATGCACAGCATACGTGCACCTGAGCGTGTAAAACGCAAGGATCAGAACAGCTGCATGCACTGTCATCTTACTAATTTGTAAGTTTACATACCTCAGTATTGCTCCCAGGTCCAGAAGGAAATGCATCGCTTGGGAGAATACTAAATATCCTGCTAGCAATAGCAGGATATACTCCCTCCAATATGTCACGGATAGCAGTTTTGAATTTGCAGATTAGTTGATTGAGTAGCACAAGGAAATGCACCATTTGATTTGGCTGCAGCAAAAAGATGATGTACAATCAAACCCTCATATAACAGACAACACAATTAACAAACTACTGGCGCAAACTTGTGTAGTCTCACACGAGTTGCTCCCAACAAAGGAAGAGCAAAAATGTCAAAATTTCCACTATGAACACAGAAAGCATTTCTCCAATGATTTAGGCCTCGTTTGGAAACAGGCTATTTTAATAACTTTTTTGGCTTTTTGGCTAAAATATGAGGTAAAAAAAACTAATATGTGTTTAAATGACTTTTTAGTTTTTTACGAAAAAATGTGCAAAAAAATAGAGAAAAAAGGAAATCTTTGACTTTTTGGTATAGGTTATAGGTTTTTTGGTTTTTTTAGTAACTTTTTGACTTTTAGGCTAAAACACTCGCATGCCAAACAAGGCCTTAATATGACTTAGTGATTGCAAGAAGACAAAAGAAAATTGAAATTTCAGAATAAAACTGCAGCAAAGAATTTTTTTTCCTTCTATATATTGTAGGTACACAATGGACGATAATAAAAATGCCTTCGCAGTTGACCAGAATTTTCAAGTTATTTTAGTGAACTAAAGTACTGGTTGCATCTGATAATGAAACAGACTACAAATAATTACAGAAAATTATTGACTATAATTTCCTACATTTTGTGGAAGTCACCAATTAAGGTAAGCATATTAACAGTTATTGTCAGAAAGGCAGAGGTTCAAACTCAGTTATCAAGGACTGCCACCAAAAAGGGTGTCAGTAAAAAAAAGCACTAAAGTACAACAGAAATAATTTGTACCTCAGTATCTGCAAACAACTGCTCCAACGCCTTCGGGAGATAGGGAAGGACAGATGTTCCTAAGATGTCTACCATGCGATGAATAAATGATGTGACCTGATTTCCCCAAAAAATGGAAAAAATAATAAACAAATAAATGATGGGACCTTAATGCTCCAATTCATAGAATAAAACCAATTGCTTCAACTCATACCTTATATCGCAAGGGCTCTATCTTTGGATACACAACCAGAATTTGGAGGAGAACATCCAATGTCTAAAAGTAAGGGAAAACAAAGATAAATATTAGTGCAAATACAGGAGATAATTACACCGTTACATAGTTCCGGTTAGGCTGCCAATTTCTGTAAGACAAAACGTGTGAGGCAATATAGTGGATTTGTTCTTTTGTTGGTTGTTTGTGGTTTTTCCATTAGAAAGAGTTTTCCTAGAGATTTTTCATGTTACGTCTGCCTATCATCATATTGGATTTGTGTGCTGATGCCTTTAGCTTCATATGCTTTGATGGCACAACCACTAATTCAACTGATATTGGCGTTATCAATTAGAGAACACTGAACTTAATATTTAATTGGCAGAAAAGCTTCTTAGGATAGTGCCTATACACTCCCCTTGAAGCACAAACAGGTTTGTCACCCACAATTTAACAGTCACCCTGCCAGTATTTCTATAGTCAAATCTACTTTTGTCTATTTTACTATCATTAGGGAATGAGACAAGTGGTAAAGGGATCATCTGTTATGATACAGCATCAAAGTTCATAACTTTTTCATCTCTCTACAAGAAACAGCATAAATAAAACTGCATCCATCAAAATGATTAATGAATTTTATAGCCCAGAAATATCGATCAATCATAAAGCACGAGACAACTCGCCTTGTGCATTGCGAAGCGAGTCGGCAGGATATTATAAATTTGTATGCAAAGGGGGTGAAAGTGGTACATGAATTTAGGAAAATTAATTAATATCTCACTGATGTCAGCGGTGCATAAACATCATTAATCTCTAATTTGTAAGACGAATTCTTTTGATCATAGAAGTTTATGATTCAACTGATGTAATAAACTGCAGAAAAATAACTAATTCTTAGATCAGAGTTTGACTCCAAAATAGAATGAACAGTAGATCCACAAGAGTCAGATAGCACACACATTTAAGTAGATTGAACAGCCTCGAATACCAACCTGCTTAAACATGAGACCAATTGCAGGCCGACTAACAGTAACAAGGCGCTCGCTGAAACCCTGGATTACACAGACATCGTAAAGAACCAAGAATAAATGACAAGTACATTCAAATAAAAAAATGCAACAAAGACTCCACGTAATATCTGGGTTTTTACTTGAACTAGTATTACGTTTTCAAATCTCTCAAATATATATCTACAGAAACAGTATGAAAAAACTTCACATGGAGAAGAAACAGAGAATTGCACATGACAGATTCTGCACATGCTACAATAGATGTGGAAGGATGGACAATAACCTTGCTGAGGGCATTAATGGCCATAATTATTTGCTGGATATTTGCAATCCTTTCAGGAGACTCTTCTGGATTCTGCACTTTGGCATTTAAAAGTGATGTCTCAACCTGATTGATGCATGACTATTTTGAGTCAAATATATTAATGAATTGAATATCAAGCAATAACCATTTCCTTCATAAGCCAGATAAAATCAGCATGCTCACATGCACAACAAAAAATAAAAATAAACAAAATAATAATTAAAAAAATGAACAGGTGTAACATTATAAAACAAAGGAAAGCAAAATCTAATGAAACTTAATTGTCATATCCAGAATTTTGAACCATAACCTGCTGACACAGAGGAGTAAGCAATGCCGAAAGGAAGTCAGTTTGCTTCTCTAGTGGTACATCCTCCATCCCAATTAATAAGCCGATTGCCTGTAAGTGAGGATGAAAAATCAGATCACAAAAAGCAGTCTGAAACCAAATAACAAAATTTACTTGCACTAGTAAAATGTACAAACTAACCAATTACCTCAAAAATGTGAGTACCATCTTCAGAACCAGATACACCTTTTGATGCACAATCCATACTAGTAAATTGTGAAACTTTATCTTGGAGACACTGAAAATACATTGAAAAAGATCAAGAGAGTGGGGGAAGCAAGAGAGATGTCTGCACTGGCATATTATGAACTGAGATCATTGATTTTACAATCAAGATACAGATTTAAATTAGTACCTGCAAGATTGTCTCTATGAAAGGCACAAGCTTTGCTTTGAGCAATTTAACAACTCTCATGAAAAGATAACTCGCCCTTCTACTCACATTGACGTTTGGATGGTGTATTCCTCTTTCATCGAGAAAGGCAACCAGAGCCATAGGTATATATTCAGTATGTTCCTGAACAAACTTCATATATCTTGTTATTGTATCTAGATACACAAGTGCAACAAGCCTACGAGAATGGCAAGGAAAGCTTGTTGACAAGAGCATTGGCACCAACTCTTTCAAAATACCACTTCCAGATCTCATTGCCTCATCACTTACCGACTCTCCATACGCAAATAAGAGGGACAATGCAGCTTCTACCTCCTCAACATTAATATCAGCAGAAGATGCAACAGCACTATCTAATGAATTCTTAATAAAAATCTGAGTTGCATCAGGTGCTACACGACCCACACTACGAAGCAATACAAGTAAATCCTTTCGAAACTCCACCATCCTATCTTCCTCTTCTCTCCCAATCTTATCCAGGGAATCAAGACTCTCACGGTAACTAGGATCATATCGAATCTGAGCACGAATCACCTCCAATATCTGACCCACATGAAGCAGCTGCTTCTCCCTCAATGGAGAGAGACTCTTCATCATGGCAACATAACTCGAAAGAAACTGCACAATGCTGAATGTTTTGTCAACCTCAGAGCTCTGCATGACATAAAAAACAGCGGGCAAAACCTCATTTAAAAGCTCCACTGGAACCCCAACAGCATCCTCAGAATTCAAACGGTTGGAGCAATCTAGAACCTCAACGGCATACCCAATGAGCAATGCTGCGAGTTCTGAAACCAACTCGGAATCACTATCCTTGGCTACCAAACCAAAAACCCTATTTATCTGAAGGTTCTGCAAAAGTCTAAGCTTGGACTTTGGTTCCATACGCTTGGAAACTACTGCCAAGACACAAACAACAGCAGCACCTCGAAGTTGATTAGGCGAACCATCCACCAAAATAAGCTCAAACAAAAGTGGGATGAATGAGTCATTCGCAATTAATTCGATATCAATCCAAGAAATATATCTCCTCATAGAATCCAAAACACTGGTACAAATTTCCGGGTCAGAATTTCTATACATTGAGATAATATCATAGGATGCTTTGACAATCTGAGGCACACATTGCTGCCTCATTGCATCCTTAACTTGCCCTGCAACAGCCAAATCTTGGGCACTTCGATTGTAATCTAAACTAATCAACTCATCATCTAAAGCATTCAAAACCCGACAAAACATATCGATCACCAGTGCACCTTTGCTCAAGTGAGGCAGATAGTCCAGAAACACGGAGGGCCAAATTAACGGGTATTCCAAGTAAATCAAAGTAACCAAAACCTGAGCAAGCTTGTTCTTGATAAAAGAAGGACCTTCCAAAACCCTAACAGGATTGTTATTATTATTATTATCATCAATACCCTCGAAACAAGCCATGGAAAACACAGACTTCCTTATAAAAGACTTCTCTTCGGGACTCATTGACGAGTACCGAACACGAAGAGCTTCGTGTAGACATTGCAAGCACCAAAATCGAACTTGAACTACCTTCGAAACGCACAATCGTTCAATGCAAATACGACAAATCGATGGGTTTTCCTTAATTTGTTGAATGAAAGCAGTAGCTCGTGATTTCAGTACCGAATCGACAGTCCCTAATTCGTCGAAACTTATGAGAATAGCTTTTTCAAGATCATCCATGGAACCCTAATTGCAAACCCTAAAACCCTGATAAATCTCTCAGTTCGATCAATCAAGTGCTTGAAAAACCCAACTCGATTTTGGAAAGTAATTGATTTTGGAATGAATTGATTCGATTGGAAACCAAATAAACTGATTGAAAGAATGGATTGAATGAATGAATGAATCGGTAAAAGATCTTACCTTTGATTCGAAAAGGCAAAGTTATGCGGTTGTGTTGTCTGCTAAGTTAGGTTTTGTACTGGGAAGGAGAGGACAGAGAGAGCCCTTTTAATACCACATTTTTTTATTTTAAAAATAATAATAATAATAATTTAAATGAATTTAAAAAAATTAATATCACATTTTCATATCAAATTGTTAGCAATTGCATATGTGAATCAAGAATTATATTTAAGAAAATATTTATATGAGATTTTTTTAAGAGAAATATATTTTGTCACTAATTTTATTTTAGAGCAATGTTACATTTACCAAATTTTAACTTGTTTGAATTGCCTTAATTTGTGCATGTCAATCATCTAATCAATCGCTCGGCCAGTCATCCAGCAATAAGGTTGATAATCCCAATTGATATGAGTAATAACCGCGGTTGACAAAAGTTACATTAATCGTCCGGACAATTCATGCGTAAATTTGAACAATTCAAGCAAAATCAAATTCGATAGATGAATCATTTTTATTTGTTTATTTTATGACTTTGTTTTACCTAAGGTGTATGATATTTATATTTGTACTCCAGTGATGATAAAACAAATATTACATTTTTCCTGATTTAGAAGTCCCAACACCAGTAATTAATTTATTTATCCTTATGCAGCAAATTTTTAACCAAGTAATTACGGCTCCGTTGGTTTAGTTTTTGAAATAAGATTTGAATTTTGAGTTGTATTTTGAAATATAAATTTTTAAAATGAGATTTGAAAAGATAAAACTTGTTTAATTATAAGTTTTGAAAAAAGTTTTAAGTTGTATTTTAATATTATTTTGGGTTTATTTTTTAAAATATTTAAAAATTTTCTTATTTTTTATTTTTTAGAATAAATATTTTTTATTATAAATATTTATTATTTTTTTTAACGTGCATTGTATTCACTATATTTGTACGTTGTATTTTTTACAATATTTTAAATGTTTATATACCTTTTTATTTTAAATATTTTATTTTATTTTTCAAATATTTTTTATTTTTATTTTAAATATTTAATTTTAAAAAAAATTGGATCTCCCATATATACCTAAATCATAACAAATTATTTGGCTTTAAAAAATAACAAAATATTTTTTCAAAAAAATAAAAAACATTTTTCTTCAAAAATTAAAAAAAAAAAGTAAAAGTAATTTTAAGGAACAAAATTTTAAAAAAAATTGAAATTTTTTTTTTAAATAAAGTTTTAAAAAGAGTTTGGTTATGAGTTTTGAAAAGAGTTTTTGAATTGAATTTTGAAAATTTTTTTGATTATGAATTTTCAAAAGAATTTTGAAATTTTTTAATTCAAATCATGATTTAAAAAGAAAATCAAATGCTAAATTTTCAACAAATTTTGATGAGCCTCCATTGGCTGTTAGCGAGTGTGGATTTTAGTTAAACAAAGAAGAGTTAAACCACACTTTCACCTATTGTAACTATTGTATGATTTAAATTTAATTTTGCTGCCTAAATGGTCAACAATATTATAATTATATAATTGTAAGAAATGATTCTGTGTTTTATTTTTCATGTGTACTCATAATGAGATTGATACATGTTAAAAAATCATAAATTTTAAAACTAAATGAAAGTTAAACTTAAAATTTAAAATTAATATTATTTAAATTAAAACAATAACAATTTAAATTAAATTATAAGAATAAAAATATTATGTGCCCATGAAAAATTAGTATGATATTTGACCCCCCCAGTTATAAGTTCTTGTGGTAAAGAATTTCAATGTCGTGGATTGCAATCCAAAAACCAAATGGATTCTATATATCAAGACAAACATAAAAATAAAATAAAAAATAAAAAATAAAAAAACAGCGAAAACACATTAAAAATTGAGAAATGGCATCACATTCACATGCAATGAAAATCATATTTTTTATAAATTTCATAAGAAAAAAGTTGAAGGCCTTAAAACATCACTCTAAAATTTATTTTTATGAAGTAGATCGTTGCATATTACTTTTTACATTTCATTTGTTAGCATAATATTAGTAATAGAAGTTTTGAACACAATGCGTGAATAAATCAGCTAGATCTAATAATTTATCAAGTAAAATAATTAGATAAGTTTGGTAACTGCTCCAGACAGTGTGATCCGACTTCATTTACACCAACGTAGGTTGTTTTTATATAATAGAATAATAGAAATAGATAAGAGATCTCCTATTTATTAGCGGATATTTTAATATTATAATGTGTTATAAATTATATTGTGTAGCTGGGCTCCAAATAACTTATTTTCCTAATTAATCCTTTTCTTTCCTCCAAAAAAAACTTGTCCACCAAGTCTCCAAGTCAAGTCTCCATTCTTATCCATCAAGTCTCCAAGTCAAGTCTTCATTCTTATCTATCAAGTCTCCAAGAAAACTTGGCCACCAAGAAAATTTGCCCTCCAACTTACCTCTCTTATAAATTGAGCCTTTCACCTCTCTTATTGGGAGCTCAAGTTTCTTATTCTCGTTTGAGAACAGGCTATTTTAGTAATTTTTTAACTTTTTGGCTAAAATATGAGGTAAAAAAAATTAGCCTCCGTTTGGGAAGTGAGTTGGCTTTTTGACTTTTTGACTTTTTTGGCTATTTTAGCCTGAGCTAAAAAGCTTGGTTTGAGAATGACTTTTTGGCTTTTTGACTTTTTTAACTTTTTTTGTGAGAGAAGAGTGTAATGATTATGGGTTGGATGTGAAGTTTTATTTTTTGTGGTTAAAATAGCCTATTTTGTCTTTTGTGGCTAAAATAGCCAAAAAAACCCACTTTAATTCTTCCCAAACGGACCCACACTTTTTAACTGTTTACGAAAAGATGTGCAAAAAATATAGAGAAAATGAAATCTTTGACTTTTTGGTATAAATTATAGGTTTTTTGACTTTTTTAGTAACTTTTTGACTAAAATGTTAACTTGCAAACGAGGCCTGAGAGATTATCAGGCAAAGAAATAAAAGATGTATGTGATGAGATATTGGGTTCAACCAATTGTGCAGTATCGGTGAACCATACGACTTAGTCGGTCAGTTGTATCTTAGGAGGGACAAGTTATGATTTTTTCTGCTATACCGGTGTGAGGCTTTGTCTAACCGCACAGGACTTGAATCTCAGCGAATTTTCCGCGCCTCAACTCTTACAATAGTTATTGTAATTTTTTTTATTTGTATTTTCTGGTATTTTATTTATAATTATCACCAATAATATCTAATGCTTTGCCAACACATAAAATGATAAACATTTTTTTTAACACTTAATTTCTCTCTACAGTTACCAAAGAACTTAAAATTAAAAAAACAACCCGAGTTTATGGATTTATTTTAATGATTCTTCATTTATATTTTAATGATAGGATAATAGCAAATTTTGTTTAACATTTTGATTTGATTTGGTAAATTATTTAGATATATTGTATCCAACAAATGTAAAAATATAATATGACATGGTAAATAAAATATGATTAAAAAAATATTATTATTATTTTTTATATATATACATTAGAACTGAGAAAAAGTTGAACTCACCCAGTCTATTCCATTGGTTCACTTTATAATTTTTTTTGTGTAGATTAAAATAAAATGGATTAATCTTATAACCATAACTTGGCTTCATAGTCAAAAAGAGCCCAACAACACCCTTTTAGCCTCTCCCTTTATTAAAAAATCCATTACAATAAAAATCCATTCTATGGATATGTTTGTTTAACAAGAAAAGAGTGGAGAAAGGGAAAGAAATAATGTAGAAATATTTAATGAAAGGTCCCACTGCCCAAGTTGGCATCATATGGGCCTGGAATGGCCCAACATAGAAACCCAATGCTTAGTTTTAAGCTCTGTTAAAACAAATGCTACAAATAAATAGATTTTTAAAATATAAAAATATAAATTTCACATAAATTTATCAATATGAAACCCCATTATATTTCTGTTTAGTTATAAAAAATCTAGTGAGAAAATCCGTTTGTGTATACCATTACTATTTTGTCCAATCTTTTCGAAAAGCAACTTTCTTTAATAATACCAGGATAATATTTTTTAAATTTGAGCACTCATGTCATAGACTAACGTTTTCAATAAGTGGAACGATTGTTATAAGTGTGTTCGATTGATTCAATATCGATGAATTTTGAAAATAATTTTGAGGGAAAGACTTTTTCTAATTTTGCTCACAGACTAGTGAATCTGCTTCAAATTGTATGATTTAGTCCAATTTTTTTAAAGATTGATATAGTTTTGGTTGAAAAAAATTAAGGTTACGTTTCGTAGAGTTTTAGAATTATGATTTGATAATAGAGTTGTAATTTGAGTTTGTGAATTTTAGAATTATGATTTGAGTGTGGAAAATTTATTTGGTTGTGAGTTTTAAAAAGAGTTTGAATTGAGTGATGTGACATATAATATTGAAAAGTAAGTGTTTTGAAAAGTTAGTGTGGAATTAATTTTTTAAAATTATAACCAAACAACACATAGAATTAAACTTCAAAAACTCTACAAAAAAGAACTTAAGTTTCCGTTAATTACCTCAACGTTGTGATTGTTATATCAGCAAATGCATTGTTATGTGATGGAGATTGCAATAATTGGGTTCACAATTTTCTTTGACAATAAAATTTGAAAAATTCCAAACAACTTTGCTTTTTGATTTTCTAAATTTTAAAGGGTTTTAAGGGTTGTTTTGCATATGGCTTATAAATTGGCCTTTTTTATTTATTATAAAAAAATGTACAAAAAAGTAGAGAAGTGATATGACCCAAATAAGCCAATAAGCAACTTATGGATAAATTACAACAAAAAAAAAAAACTCATAATTTAACTCTTGTAATAAAATAAGCTCAGAAATTTTAATTTTGTAAATTTAAACTCTAATATTCTGATTTGTTTTCAATCTAAATTATATGTCTATTTTCGTTAAGCAAAACTGAGAAAAAAAAGTTTTTTAGACATTTTATGTACACTTACATTGACTTTAATGACTAAAATACCTCTTTTATGTCAATTTTACTTAATGAAAATAGACAAATAATTTAGATAGAAACAAATAAAAAAATTAAAGTTTAAATTGATAAAAT